ACCCAGGCTAGCGTACAGTGGCATAATCACAGCTCACTGCAGCCTCCAACTTTTGGGATCAAGCGATCCTTTCTCTCACCTCAGCCTCCCCAGTAGCTAGGACTACAGGTACATGCCATCATGTCCTGCTAATTTTTAAATTTTTTGTAGAGATAAGATTTTACTATGTGGCCCAGGCTGGTCTTGAACTCCTGGCCTCAAGTGATCCTCCTGCCTCAGCTTTCCAAAGTGCTGACATTACAGGTGTGAGCCACACTTCACTTAGCCAACGCTTCATTCTAAATGCCACCTCTGTTAAGAGTCTTCTATGATCATCCCACCTAGAACTTGATCTTCTGTTTTCTACATCATGAGTCTGGTCGGATTAATTAGCTGAATTTATCTCAAGCAGTAATTAATATTTTACTTGTGTTATGTGTCTCTCCAATCAGACTATAAACTCCATGAAAGCAGAGGCCTCTCTGTTCACCAAATACCTACACAATGTCACTGACAATCTTTTTTTGTTTTTAATACATCTCTTTTGGTAGATGATGGAAATGCTTTATCTATCTAGAGACAGAGTTTCACTATGTTGCCCAGGCTGGTCACAAATTCCTGGGCTCATGTGATCGTTCCACCTTAGCCTCCAGAGTAGCTGGGATCACATGCATGCCCCACTGTGGCCCACCTCACTGACAATCTTTCAGGCCAAGAAGATATCAGGTATCAAAAGAGGAAAATATTCAACACAGTACTAAGTCGATACTCTCTGAACTGAGAATTCTATACTTGTAGTCAACTATTAAACTGCTATTAGCCCCTTCCCCTGTTATAATTAAGAAAAAGATCTCAAAAAACAGCTAAATTATATATATTTAATTCTAAATCACAGTTAAAAAAAAAAAAAAAGGACTATAATAAAAGGTAAAATGCCATGTTAACCAGAACTCCCCTCCCTGTCTGGCTAAAATGATGCTACAGTCACACTAACAAACTTAATTTCTATTCTGTTCAACAAGTTTCAAATAAAGCAATTGGTTGAAAGCATCAAGGTGAATATACATAAATTCCTAATAGTAACTATGGAAAGCAAGTAAATAGACTAAGATAAAGGACAAACAAACACACTTAAAGGGCCTCACACAAAGAATTTCAAAGTACTTTTTAGAGTCAACTTCACACATTTTGTCATAGCCCACCTTAGTTGCTGGGGATTTTCATGGATCCCAACCACCCAGTAGTGATCAGATTTTCCTTTGCAGTGTTCTCTCGTGTTACATATGGGAGTCCATGTATCACCAAGCCCTCTGTTAAGCATTCGAACAAGGCCTTCTGAATCCACATAACAGGGGGTACCTATAAAACAACAGAAAAAGGAATCACTTGGAGACATAGCTACATTATTTGTTAAATAAATCCTATTTCAAAAATACATACTAATGATTCAACTTCCATTTTAAAAGCAAAAAGCAAAAAACAAAACAAAAGGCAAATAATCTAAAATTATTTCCCGTAAACTTTCATTAACCATATAGAGTAAGACCTAACTGAAAAAAGGAAAAAAAAAAAGTCACGTGATATGACTAAAATTTACCCAAATAAAGAGAAAAAACTGATAGTTTCAGTGAAAACTATGCCACCTGCTGGAATATAACAGTAATAATTTTTAAACCCATTTTAGTTAAAAACAAAAACAAAAAAACAATATGAATCTGAAGGCTCCTAGTTTAAAGAGACTTGGAAAAATGACCAAAATCTGATACAAGGGGACGATGTAAAGAAATTTATCTTTGGTATTCTTCTTCCTCTCTTTTCTTTGTTGGCCTTGTCACAGTTCTGTCCCCAACTCCTAGGCAAGCAATTCATACCTAGGAAAACAGGTAAGCATTCCTGTTTCCCACTCACTCTGCTTCCAACTCGGAAAGTGAATGGCAAATTATCTAACTATCCCTTTCACTATCTGTGGCTTCATAGCCCTCTTGCTCTACAAACATCAGTTTCCTCAGAGTATGGATCTGATTGGTACTTTGGGGAAAAAAAGCTATACAAAAATGTTAGTTATTAACTGTCATATTATTAAAGCATGAATGACTAATAATATCCCAATAGAAAACACATCCAGAAATGATTGATGTTTTAAAGACAAAGTGGAATTTCCAGTAATGTAAATGAAGAACATGAATCACTAATAGGAGAAATAGTTAAGTCCTCTTTGAGACAGGTTTAACAGGTGATTTAAAATAAGGTACTCTTCAGTGTCCTTCAAATCATCTATCATAAGCCACTATAATTGAGTCTACAACAGTACCATAGAATAGAAATATCATGTGAACCACAAATGTAAACTTTTAATTTTCTAGAGCTACATTTAAAAAAAAGGGTGAAGTTAATTTTAATAATGTATTTTATTTAATACAATA